AAGGCTAAAATTGAGAATGAGATTAGAAAAAGCAAATTGTCATGCTGATGTTTCTAATGATGGTTCATTAAACGGTAAGAGTGAGACTTTTAAATTTAGAAATTCTGACCTTATTGATTTCTTATTTTCTTAATTTGATAGATAATGTTGCGAGTGTGAGAGAGATTAATTACATAGAATTTATTTTGAATTATTATACTTTGTCTTCCTTTGTTGTTTGTGTAACCTTTCTTATTTATGATTTTGATGTTTGATGCCAACATATATCTCCTTATTTTTAACAATTTATTACTTTTATCATATTAGGATGTTAAATATGTTATATTTTATGCTATTAATAGATTATGATTTTAGTATTTTATTTCTCTTTATATATTTTGAACTTAGTATAGAATTTTTTGTTTTGCGCGATTTGCTGATTTTGAAGCATCTTCATCTCTTGGAAGAAAAATGCCTCAATATCTAATTGCGTAATTTTAAACTTTACGTTCTTCAATTCAAATTATTGAATTGTTTAATCGTTTATATCTGTTGATGATAGAAGGGCTATATGAATGTTCATGTTAGTTAAAATGTTCATGTTAGTTAAAATGTTCATGTTAGTTAAATGAGCGATAATTAATTCCATATATTTGAATGTTGCCTTGTGTCTCTTGTTTGACTTTATACTTTTCGAGTGAGTTATCCTATTTATATTCTACTATGAGGGTGCATCTATACCTTTCCTTTTATTTTTGTAATGTCATCAATTCCCAAGTTTGTTATATTGACGGACTTTCATTTCCTCTGTCGTACTATCATTCTAGTTCTCATTTTTTAAATCCTAGAAGATGATTTTGGGAACATAAATGTCATGGAGTCTAGCAAGGAAGGATTGGTGGTGATGAGAAAGTTTTATATTAATGATCGTTTATTGTGTTAGAGATTTTTAGTTAAAATGCCTTTGTTGGTAGGCTCAATTGTTTTTGCAACTAGTTCAGCGCCGGGGATTGATTTAGTTAATTATAAATAAAGATATGGTCTCTACCACCTTGAGGTATTCATTGAGCAAGGAATCTCTAAATTATCTATTGTATTATTCTTTTTTCTGAAATATTTAGATCCAATTAAAAAAAGTTGTTGCTTCAAGTCCTATATTTTGGCCATTTTTCTTTCTCATTCTCAAAATTATCTTTATAATGAAATTCTGCAATATTAATATTTTTTAGAATAACAAAAGAAGGATAACCAATACAGAGGAGTTTGAGCCGTTTTGTTTCCTTATTAAATTTAAAGGTTTCAGGAATGAATGATAATATAACAAATAACATGGAGCTTCTTTGGGCTTTTGGTACCTTGAGGTGGTATAGATTGTTTCTTCTTTTTGTAAGTCTAATCATCCTCATCAGGCACTCTCGTAATTTGTAGTCTTTGCCTTGTGATCTTAGTTTTGACTTCATCGATTTTGATAATCACAAATTTTCTAAGACATTTTAACTTTCAAATATATATATATATTTGTTAACTGAATGAATACACAGGCCTCATTTATTTTCTAGAACTATGGATTTTCCTAATAATGACGTCGTCATATGGTCCTGTTCATCCCAATTATTGAATTTAGGATCGTCTTTTTGAGATTTGGTGCTAATTAAATGAGTCAATTTTCCTCTTTCCTTCAACTGTGAAGTAATTGCGACTAAAGAATTTTTTCCATTCAAATGATATGCTGAATGAATGGTTTAGAATTTTATCATTGAATTTTGGACGTCAATGTTGGTTTCAAATGAATCTGAGACTCGGTAAATATGGAAGAAAAAATGTAATAGTAATTGATTACTGAGATATTGGGCTAGAGATCAGAGTTCTGTAATGACGTCTACTAATGAGAAGATTAGGTGGAACGAAAAAAAATTGCAGGTATAAAGGCTTGTAATTTCAAGGCAATGCAGTAATGATGGGTGCTTCTTATAGAAATGCTAAGAAATTTCTGTACTATTCTTACATCCTAGTAGGAAGCATACAAAATCATGGTTAATAACTACACTAATCCACAAATTGATGAGTTGAAATAATTATAATCATCGAATAATTGTTGTAATTGTCCACAAATTGAGGAGCTGACACTAATAATCTAATAGATTATTGAGGTAGCTTAAAGTGAATGAAGATTTTTTTGGACTGTTGGTTTAGTGAAGCATTGATGTAAATTAATTTTTTCACATTAAATATAAATAATTAATTTATCTATCTTCAAAGCACATACAACAACAACAACGGCAACAAACTTTTTTCCCTGTTATTATTATTGTTGTCTATGGTTTTATTGGCCATACTTATTAGTTGAATGATTGTTTAATATATAAATATCATATCTGAAGAAAAAAATAAGGCCACTGAAGATGTGTCATAAGGCAAAAGGAATTCCTGGTCTTGATCATGATTCCAGGCATCAATATGGTTTATTCTCTTATATTCTTGTGAAATATACGAACTAAAAACTGAATGCATGAGTATAAAATAATCCTTGTATTAGACAAGATGTCAAATGGGCCATCAACTTACTATTTCATTTTGCAGTATATAATAGCACCTTCTATATCATTTTTACCATCATTTTTTCACCTATCCCAGCCCCTTCCTATTTTGTTTCTTACTATTTTATTAATATCTTTTTACTACTTTTTTGTTTGACTATAAAATTTGGCATAGAAAGATATGTTATTTTCTTACTTTTTAAATAAGGGTGCAGTTTAAGTTAAGCATGTCAAGATAAGTTCGGTCAGTTGATGATAGGCTTAGATGTTTAAGTAAGTTTTAAGTTATTGTTAGTTGAAGATAATTGTTTGGTTTCAATGTGCTTTAGCTCATTTTCTTTAATCACCATGATATTAGAATATTACATAAATATAAATTGATTAGCTCTTTGGAGAACTTAACTATGATCATGAACTTAAAGGATGATTAATTTTTTTTATAAACATTCAAATTACTTTTATTATGAGAATGTAGCTTGTTAAACGATAATCTTAATTACTTTGAAAATAATAAAGTTATGAAAAAATTAAAATTACAAGATAAGTGAAGTATAAGGTGAATTATGATTGTACATTTGATAATTATTATATTAGTTTTAACAAATTTTATTTAATTATCATTGGAGCTATGCTTAAGCACTGAAGCTTATTCTTTTTATCCATTTTGCTATAAGTTTGAGGTAAGATAATCATAAATTTCATGGCTTAAAGGGTTTCAAAATAGTCTGTTTGGGGCACTTGTGCTTCACTTGAGTATCAAACTTCTAACAAACAACCTCTAAGAATAGAAGAAACCTTTTTTCAAGAACACGATCAATGAGGTGAGTTTTACTTTAGATTGGTAAATAAAAAAAAAAGTTGAGTTTGAGCTGAAGATGATGTGTAAAGGAAAACCAAAGGTTCAAATGAGATACTTGGTGATATTGGTGTAGGCTGGCTTAGAGTTTTTGTTAACTAAGATAGGCGATTGTTCGTATAATCGACCATATATATAGTACTTTGATAGGAACGAGACAAGCTTCCGCAGGCATTATGGTAGAAATAATAGGTTCTATTCCACTAATATCAAAACAAAACAATACAATCCGAAAAATATAAAATATCAAACACATACAATTTAAGAGGTAAGAGATCTCTCTCAAACCCTAACTCTAAGATTCAAGAAAACAATCACACGTAACTTAAACATAACATATTAGTTCTATTTATGACCCACAATGACAGTTAAGAAATGACTAAATTGTCTTTTTTAGTCTTATGCTTAACATAAGTCCTCACGTAGTGGGATTAAGGCTTTGTTGTTGCTGTTGTATGCTTAACATAAGTCCTCAAATTATTTTGGGGGGCTCAGCGTCGTCTTAGTGGAGTACGAGGCGGATAGTTTCGTAGGCGTCGGTTTAACATACTCATGCCCCACTCTGTCCACCAATTAGAACCAAAGAAAAATTGGACTGTTAAGAAGAGCTTTCTACTATTGGGAGATTCTATTTCATTGGAGAATAGGAGAGGCTAATTATTTTGGTGAGCCTAATTTTTGTTTTTCTTATATTGAATCAGTGTTAGAAAATCATTCTCAAAATGGAGAATCTTTTTTTTTTTTAAGTTTTATTGTTTCCATCGAAATTGTTGCATATTATCCCAATGTTTGTAATTGTTGGCCTCCAATCTGGATACCTTAGTTTTGGACCCATTTTTTAAGTTTTCTAGCTTTCTAATAGCTCGGGTAAATTGAGTCAAATTTTTTTAACTTGTGTTAATATTAATAAAATTCTAGTAACCATGGCAGAACATTGAGCATTACAAGTGGAGTTGAGTTTGATTGGAGAAATTTTATAATTTTTTTATGAGAAAGCTTTAGCTCATTGAGTTATTTTGATTAAATGCTGTTTTAATGATATCGTTTTTTTATTTTCATTGTAAAAATTGTGTTTTTTGTGTGGTGAATGATGTGCAAATATTTTAAAATTTTAATCTCAAAATACAATTTAGTTGATGTGATGAGAAAGGGCATTGTGATCAAAGTTTAGTATAGGTTTGAGTTGCAAGATACTTTGAAGAGCCTGTATTACATAATCTTATTGAAGCAGTCATTAATAACATCTAAAAGGTGAGTCGTTACAAGAGAAAGTGTCACTTTTGTATTACTTTAATAGATTTTGTTGGTATAAATTTTTACTTCATGATTGATTTAATTTCTTTGAGTGGCTTATTAGAGTGGCTAATAAGGAAATTTGTTGATGATTCCAATGGTTGCATTAGTGTTTGGTGAATAAGAGTTGATAGGGAGTAATGTTACGAAAGCTAGAGTTTTCAATCGATGACTAACATTCAAGTTATACTTTATGTAAAAAAAGGGTTTGCTATCTAGGTCCATTACACGCAGTTGGAAATGCAAATGGTGAAGATGTTGAATATTATGATCTGGTTGATGATTCTTTTGCTTTTGTATTTTACATGTCCTCATTGTTAGGATTTTTCTGGCAGTTTTTATGAAGGTATTGTTGATTCCTTTGATCGAAGTACGAAGAAGCATAAGGTACTTGTCTGCTGGCTTATCACTTAGTTTTTCTTCTGCTTTGTGTTTCTGGTTTGTTTTTCTAATTTGAGGAAGCTGATCCTCTATGCAGGTTTTGTATAATGATGGTGATGTGGAGGTTCTGCTTCTTAAGAATGAGAAGTGGGAGTTCATTGAAGCTGAAACCAAGGCTGATGGGGTGAGTTAGCTGTAGCTTGTCTGATATACTTGCTCTTTTGTATGCTTACACTTTCAAATTCCATCTGGTGCAGGAAAATAATACCCCAGATATCATTGCTTCAGATTCGTAAGTCCTCTTTATTTAAACTTTGTTTTCCTGGTTGAATTATATGTTTTCTTAATGTTTTGGTCTTCCTTTTTTTCCCTCTTTATGATCTTATTCTATGCATGTTTTTGAGAGAGAAATATGCATCCAAATAGAAGCAAACATCATTCATGCTGTTATTTTTATATAAATTTATTTGAACTACGAAATCACAAATCTGGGGAAAGAATTGAGGAATACCCCATTCATGCTGTTATTTTTATATAAATTTATTTGAACTACGAAATCACAAATCTGGGGGAAGAATTGAGGAATACCCCATTGCGATTGTTTGGCTTAAAGATGATCCTATTTATAGAGTTGTATAATAGGTAAGAATTGGAATAAATAAAGCACTCAATTGAGAAAGGAAATTAATAAGACAACATAAATTGCATCAAAAACCTACTAATCAATACTTCACGTAGACTTTAAGTAATTACTTCATCGGCTATCCAATGCAAGGCCAAACCGAGAGCAAAATGGATGTTTCCATTTCTGCTGCAGCTGTCTTGTCATTCTTGGCTCTTCCCCAAATGTCATTTTCTGTGTAGTTTTCACCTTTGAGTGGCCCACCAACAATCTTGCCTCTAAATTCTACCAATCTATAAGGCTTATAGGGTAGAATATTTTTCTTTCCTATTCTAGAAAAGAAATGGCAGCAACTTTTAACACGCCCCCTTGAGGCAATTTTTAAGCATCCAACAAACTAAATTTGTCAATTAATTTTCAAATAGGATTCTAATCAATCCTTTGGTCAGAATGTTAGAAGGAATATATATATACATATATATATAACATTTAGCTCCATTTTGAAGTTTATTTTTATGAAGTGTCGATATGTCTCCTCATATTTGGTACAGTGATCTCTAGCAAAATTGTGAGGTACATTGATAGCAGCTTTAACAATATAGTATCATATGCGTCTTGATTGTTTTCTGGAGTTATTGGGGTAAATTCTAAGCTTGATTAATTCATTGATCCCATCATCCAATGTTTTGAGTTTTGCTTCTATGCTACTTGCTATTATATTCTGTTTTTTTGCTTTTCTAGGTTATAAGATTACATATATGTGCAAATCCATATGAGGATCATCCGCCTACTATATGCATAAGCCTAATTAGCATCAACATAGGCTTCTATAATTTTGAACTTTTTTCTTAAAGAAAGCTCCCTTAGGATATTTTTGATTTCTAGCAATAACATTGGTTTTTCACTGGGAGCATGCATGAGCTTACTTACCAAATTACAACAAAGGCTTTCTCAGGCTTGGTATGAGCCAAACAGATGAGCTTTCCCATCAACATTTGATAAATTTGTTTACTAGGGAACTAGTACTAATGCGACTCAAATTAACATTACAATTTGTATGAATCTCGATTGATTTGCTTTCAATTAAATCAATTTCTTTTAAGTGGTCTTGAATGTACTACATATTTTCATTTCGAGAAGATATCCGAGATGCCCAAGGCCTTTAATTTTAAGTTGTTGTACTCTTTTTTTGCTGAAGGCATTTTTCTCCAAATTGGAGTTACTTATCTCTAAATCTTTGTTTTGTGTAACAATGATATCATCAACATGCATGATTTATGTGATAGACTTATCATCCTTGTATATGTCGGAATCAGCGTGATTAAAGAGCTTGTATTTGTGCCTTTATCGGCTTGTAATTTTTGTTTGACCCCCCTTTATATTGATTTTTTATAATTTGGAAACTATGCATTTCTTCCATGGTCATTGATACTTGGCGAGGAATCTATATAGACCTCTTCTTTTAGACATCATTCAAGAATATATTTTTAACATCTAGTTGGTGAAATATCTAGTCATGCTTATTTTTCTTTAACCAAAAAATCAACATGGTGTTAAGCTACGTCATAGAAAAAAAATGTTTCAGAATTGTGATTCCCATATGTTTGGGCAAATCTTTATGCAACCATCCATGTTTTTTATTTCTCGATTGATCCATCATATTGAGATTTCGCGGTGAAGTCGTATTTATCTTCCATTGGGGTGGCATATCTGTTGGTCTTTGAATAACTTCCATTTTTTTATTTCTTTTCAGGGGCTTTCATCTTCTCATTAAATTTTCTTGTTCTATCTTGGATTATTAGGAGCCTTTTCTGTCGTCTGTGTAATATCCATTTTTTGCTTGTCAGCGACTAAGTTTATTTTTTGGTCTCATTTTAGCCAATTTTCTTGAGGATGCTCTGCACATGCATGCATCCTCTTTCTTAGAGTAATGTGCTGTTCTTTACTTTTATCTCAAGATGAGTTTGAGAGTTTTTGGAGTTAAAATAGGATTCGTGTCGAGCTTTGAGAATGGTTTCATTTTTTTGGTAGTTTATTACTTTGTGAATAAACATGAAGCTCCCGAGGCTGTTGGAGGATCTAGTGGACACGAGTTTTAGTGATGTTAGTGTAATCATTTTTAGGATGGTTTCTGGTATTTAATACGTTGGAACATATTTATGGAAAAAAGTTAAAATTTCCTTTTCTTCTCTCTCCCTCTTAAATGAACTTTTATGAAAGGTATATTTTTTCTTCTAGTGGACATGAGTTTTAGTAATCTTAGTGTAATCATGTTTAGGATGGTTTATGGTATTAGTACGGTGGAACATTTTTCTGGAAAAGGATAAATTTATCCTTTTCTTCTTTCTCCTTCTGAAAGGAGTTTTTATGGAAGGTTTATTTTCAATGAAAGTGATGTCAATGGATACGATGTGTGCGTGCGCGCGCGCTTGTGCGTGTGTTTTGAAGGCTTAGGGTTTATATTATTCTTTAAAATTGTGTACTAAGTGACATATCTCAATATAATTTTGAAAAAAAATAATCACGAGACATGCTCAGGGAGTTGGTGTTTTTCTATGCAATTCGTAAGATTTGCGGGTCTAAAAATTACGGATTTGATTATTAAATAATTTTAGTTTATAATTTGATATAAAAATAGTTCTTATTTTATTGTACTATGAGAATGATTCTTATTCTGTATTTCTCTACACAAAGCCTGGACATACATGAACTTTTATGAAAGGTATATTTTTTCTTCTAGTGGACATGAGTTTTAGTAATCTTAGTGTAATCATGTTTAGGATGGTTTATGGTATTAGTACGGTGGAACATTTTTCTGGAAAAGGATAAATTTATCCTTTTCTTCTTTCTCCTTCTGAAAGGAGTTTTTATTGAAGGTTTATTTTCAATGAAAGTGAAGTCAATGGATACGATGTGTGTGTGTGCGCGCGCTTGTGCGTGTGTTTTGAAGGCTTAGGGTTTATATTATTCTTTAAAATTGTGTACTAAGTGACATATCTCAATATAATTTTGAAAAAAATGATCATGAGACATGCTCAGGGAGTTGGTGTTTTTCTACGCAATTCGTAAGATTTGCGGGTAAAAAAATTACGGATTTGATTATTAAATAATTTTAACTTATAATTTGATATAAAAATAGTTCTTATTTTATTGTACTATGAAAATGATTCTTATTATGTATTTCTCTACACAAAGCCTAGACATACATATCGAGATTTGCAATGGGATGCGTGCTACAAATTTCTACTATGTTGTTTCATTCACATGACATTGTTGGTACTCTCAGCTGCAAGTCGTTGCTTTTTATTGGTTTGGTAATACGAAGATAGGTGACATTGAAGATGCGAATGAAGATTAAGGGCTCGTTTGGGGTAGCTTAAAAGTGCGGCGACGTTTTTGAAAACGCCGCCGTGCTGTTTGGTTCCTGCATCTCCCCTGTGTTTTTAAAACCTACGTTTCACTGTTTAGGCTAAACAGTAAACACGGGCCTTTACCTGCGTATCGCGTTCGCGGCCTCATTTTTCCCTCATTGCCCTCGCTAGTCGCTAGGCCTGGATCATCTCCCTAGCGATCGTCGCCCTAGCCACCGAGAAGAAGGTGATTTTTCCAGAATCATTTGTTTTCCAAACGCACAAACCAAACAGCTAGCCAACTTATCCGGATCAGCTGCTCATCAACAAATTATTAGGATAAGCTGTTAGGATAAGCTGGATAAGTTGCAACCGCCCCAAACAAACCCTAAAAGGATGTTGACACAAATGTGGATGTTAGAGAAAAATAATTTATTATAATGATGGTTTTAGAGAAAATTAACTATGTGTGAGATTATTTGGAACTTTTGGATTCATATTTTATTGTCTTACTGAATTAGGAGTGACACATTTGTATTATCTTATTTTGACATCTTACTTTGATGTTTGTATGTTATTATTATTATTATTATTTTAATATAATGGGTTATTTTTGAATTTCACATCTCAAAATGTATTGTCTCATCGACAAATAACATCTTGATATCTGATTATGTAATTTCAAACCTTTAGATCAAATTTTATTTTTAATTGTTTATGATTGTAAACAAAGGCAAGACATCCAAAAACCTTAAGGGAAGACTTGAAATATTTGGTGTGTTTTGAAAGCATTTGGAAAACACAGATTTGAGCTTTGAGCCAAAGTACATTAGCTGGAAGTTGATTATGAGGCAGCTAGTGTGTTATCAAAGCGCAAAAAGCAATGCATTGTGAAGGCTTTATTTTTGGTTCAATGTGCAAAGAGCTGAGGCAAATGGCACTCTTATTAACACACCACTAATATGTTATATAAAATTATTTATGTATAAATACATTCATAAAATATTATAAAACGTAAAGCATAACTTAAATGCTGATATAAAATAGAAAAAATGATACCTAACTTAGAAGGCAAAATATTGAGTGTTTTATTCTTTTGAAAATTAAAAAATTGAAGTAAAATTTTTTGATACTAATTAAATTTTTTTTCTAAAACCTAGACTTTTTTGGTTCACCCTCATTGCCTAAAAAAAGAAGTATTTACATGCATTCCACCAAATTCATATGTATTTACATATCTAAATCAAAATATATCATGTAAAAATTAAAGATTTGTTGTTAGATATGTAAATACATAGGAATTGAGAGGCATGATTGAGT